TTAGAGCCTTTATTTCTCATATTTTAGAGATAATCTAGAAGATTTACTAACCTTTTCAAAATTGATTAGAGTTTTAACCTTTAAGCTTTATTTACTTGCCAGGAGTAAGGTATTTATTCAAAGTGATTTTATCATAGTTTGAATAGATAGCATTATTCAAATAAAAAGTAAATTTTTTTTGCAAACACATTGGTAAAATATGAGATGTCAAAATCAACTCATACTGTTATGAAAAATCATTATGGCCTTTAGAGTTGGAGGAAAATATTATCAGCGTGGGCTTCTCCTCTGTAAAGCAAAGTGAAACAAACTGAGCTTTAAGGATCTGTATCCCCACTTTGATGATGATAATAGCTAACATTTCCTGCCTTCCAGCTATATGCCAGGCATTATGCATATAGATACACTTTACATACATTATCTCATTTCATCCTCTCAGCAGCCCTGGGAGGTCAGTATTCATCACATCCTCATTCTGTGAAGGGGAAATGCTTTGTGTAGAAGGGAGGTTGGGTAACTGTTATGGGTTAAAATGTGTCCCCTTCCATCTCAGTCAAACATATGTTAAGGTTCTAATTATTAGTGTCTCAGAATGAGACCTTATTTGGAAATAAGGTCTTTGCAGAGCTAAGCAAGCTACAATGAGGTCATTAGTGTGGGGCCTAATTCAGTATGACAAGTGTCCTTATAAAAAGGGAAAATTTAGACACAGAGATCAACAAACACAGAGGGAAGGTGGCCATGTGACTGGAGTGATACGTCTGCAGACCACAGAATCCCGAGGATCATCAGCAAACACTAACAGCTAGGAGATGCCAAAAAGGATTCTCCCCTAGAGCCAGAAGACAGATCATGGCCCTGAAGGCACCTTGATTTCAGACTTCTAGCCTCTAGGACTGTCAGACAATAAATTTGTATTTAATCCACCCAGGTAGATACTTTGTTCAACAACTCTGGAAACTAATACAGTAAGTTTTCTAGGTCAAACCAACAGTAAGTAATGAAGCTGATATTTGGATGTAGGCACCTACTAAGAGCTCAACAGATATTATCTGCTATTACTATTTGTAACATTAGCCATACTATTTAATGTTATAATATTAATAATAAAACTTAGGGCTATTATTGTTTCCTTTCTCGTAAGACTCTATTGTTATCCATCTACTATGCTTCATTTGGGGCTTCCCTGGTAGCTCAACTGGTAAAGAGTCTGCAATGCAGGAGACATGGATTCAATCCCTGGGTTGGGAAGATGCCCTGGAGAAGGGAAAGGCTATCCATTCACTCCAGTATTCTTGCCTGGAGAATCCCCATGGACAGAGGAGCCTGATAGGCTACAGGCCTTGGGGTTGCAAAGAGTCAGACACAACTAAGGACTAAGCTCAGCACAGCACATGCTTCAACTGGGGCTTGCTTGTCACAGATTCAAAAACCCATCAATGTCACTCAAAGCTGAGTATGATATCAGATATCTCTATGTGAGCAGCTGGCCAAGTTCAGAAACCAGTTAGTCCCCACTTAAAGGAAATGTGCCCTTAACAATCTGTGTGAGACATGTGTGAAACTCTATTAGAGAAAATTCATGAAAATATCACTAAATTTAGGCCTTGTGCATAATACTGGCCTGAACCTGAAGCCCTACATCCTCAGCAAATGAAGACAGCAGATTGTTGAAGTCCTGTGTTTTGATGAGGATTTATCTGGAGAGGATTATTATAGCTCTCAACTCTGCACTAATGTCTAGCCTCTGAACATGCATCCACGGAAACATAATTCAACTTCTTAATTTTCCAGCCCTGCAGATAATTGGTTCCATAGAGACACAAAGACTCATGCTCTCAACACATGCGTCAGTGATGTTGCTTACCAGTAATCAGAGGATCAGCTTCCTTTGAAGTTCAAAATGTGTGTGTAGAGGGAATTTGGGGTTGAAAGAAAATAATTTCTGGGTCCTTTATCATAATTAAACTGGATTATGATTTTTTTTTTAGGGTGAAACAAATTTAGCAGAGCTAGACCCAAATTTTTCAGTCTCTCTGCTCTGCATTTCAGCTGAGGTCTCCTGTGGTTTGCCATGCTAAAGAGTACACTGGAAATTAGTGGAAAACAAAGCATGCAGTTTCTCTAGTTTCATAAATTATCCTCACTCTCATCTTTGGGGGAATTATGAACAGCCAAGTTGGGGTAGAACTGGCTCTGTGGATAAATTCACACAGGAGGTATGGTTTATGGAGGTATGGTTTCTGATTTAGCTTCTGCTTCTGGCTTGCTTTGACCCTCTGGGAAGTCACATTGTCCCCATGGCTTTGGTTGGGTTGCTTGTAAATACCAGAAACACATAGCGCAACACTGTAAGACAAAATTGCTGGGAGGGGTACTCTGATTGATTAGAAATATGGTGGTCTTCAAAAATGAAGAGCACTGTTATTATGGAATCCTGTCTCTATGTAGAATTTGTTTGCATGACACAGTGCATCAAGTTCTTAGAAAAGTTAGGGAGAAGAATGTGATGGCTAATATCAGGAAATGATCTATGCCTTCTTTCTCGTGCTCACTCAGTCATGTCAGACTCTTTGCAACTGTATGCACTCTAGTCCACCAGGCTTTTCTGTCCATGGAATTTCCCAGGCTAGAATACTGGAGTGGGTTGCAACTTCCTTCTCCAGGGTATCTTTTCAACCCAGGGATTGAACTTGCACCTCCAGCATTGACAGGCAGAGTCTTTAGGAAGTCCCCATCTCCTTTCTCACTTAGCCTTTTGTCATAGCTCTGAAGTAAAAATAATCCCCCAAATCTTCATCACATTCCAGTTATGCCAAGTGGTGCTGGCTGTCTCCCAAGGTTGAAAGAGTCAGGACCAAGCAGTTTTAAGGAACCTGCCATAGTCAGCTCGGACATGTGCTCTGTCTCTGAGTTGTGAGATCCATTCTTTTAGTCTGACCCAAACTCCAGCTGAGACTGTTTTTCCCCTGCAGTTCAGACACTATGAATTTTACATTATTTTGTTTTGCTCCTTCTTGTTTTGGCATTTGATAATAATTCTATTGCTCTGTTACCTTGGAATTCCACCTCTGACATTTGCTTCTTGCTTGAGAAATTTAGGTCCAAAAAAGCAGATCTCACAGTCATTGTGAACTGTAGCTCTAGATGACGGGTCCATTATGTAATCAAGGTTTCCAGTGCTTGGCCCCATCTTGGTCTTGGTGCCAGAGAAATTCACGGAAGGCAGAGCAAAAGATTGATTTACCTAATCCTATTAGAGAAGAGCTATAACAGTTGCCTTCTAAATAATGCACACTATTTCCAGATTAATCATAAAACCTCAGTTATACCCCCTTGCCACCTCCAGAAACCTTCAGTGACTTCCCTATTATATCAGGTGGCTTTCACTGTAAGCCATTCAAAACTTAGTGGACTAAAGCAATCAATATTTATTACTTTTAGCAATTTGGTGGGTTGTTTTTCTGGTCTGGGTTGGCTCCATTGGGCTGGAATGTCTAAAGATGGCTTCAGTCATGTATCTGGATGTGAGTAGGCTGGAGGGTCTAGGCGTCTTACCTGGCACAGCTGGTCTGAAGTGCACCTGTCTCAGGGCTTGTTAAGACTTGGCTTGTACCACACTTGCTAATGTCCACCTAGTCAAGCCCAGAATCAAAAGAGGGATCCAAGAAGCTGTAATTGTTGCAGGGGGTCATTGCTACAACACCCTTTAATGAGGTCCACACTCCTTAATGGGGCTTCCTTGGTGTCTCAATGGTAAAGAACCCACCTGCCAAAGCAGGAGACTTGGGTTTGATCCCTGGGTTGGGAAGACACCCTGGAGAAGGAAATGGCAACCCACTCCAGTATTCTTGCCTGGGGAATTCCGTGGACAGAGGAGCCTGGTGGGCTACAGTTCACAGGATCGCAAAGAGTCGAACTTGACCTAGGGGCCAAACAACACTCCTTAATACGGTACTGCTTTATTGTGAACACAATCTAGCATTCCAACACCATGCCACACTCAGGCTCTAGCTAAACTGAACTTGCTGTTTCTAGCAGCTGCCACACTTTCTGTTCTCCATGCCGTTATACTTGCACTTTCCTCTGTTAGAATCCCTTTCCTCCACTTGCCACTCAGCTAAATTCATCACAGAATAAAGTCTTTAGCTTCTATGATATGTAAGCAATTTGCTATGCTGAGACCCAATCTTGCAGAATCTCAGCTACAAATCCTGTATAGTTTTCTAGGGCTACTGTAACAAAGTACCAGTAACTGAGTGGTGTGACAACAGAAATGTTTTTATCCTCACAGTGTTGGAAGCTAGAAGTCTGAGATCAAAGTGTCAATAAGATTGGCTCCTTCTGAAGTTCATGAGGGAAGAATATGTTCCAGGCCTCTTTCCTTTGCTTATAGGTGGCTGTCTTTTCCCTGTGTCTTCACGTGGTCTTATCTTCTGTAACTGTCTGGGTTTAAATTTCCTTGTCTTCTAAGGACATCTGTCATAATAGATTAGACTGATGATAGATTAGATTTTAACTTAATCCCCTCTTTAAATACTCTATCACCAAATCCAATCACACTCTGTGGTACTGGGCATTAGGACTTCACGTATGAATTTCTTGGGGGATACAGTTCTGCACATAACATAGCCTTAAGTACCCCCATTCAATTGCTGTCTCTTCTTCGAAACCTTTATAATAACTCCTATTGTTGTTCAGTTGCTCAGTCCAACTCTTAGCGACACCTTGGACTGTAGCATGCCAGGCTCCTCTATCCCCTACTATCTCCCGAAGTTTGCTCAAATTCATGTCTATTGAGTCAGTGACGCTGTGTAATCATCTCATCCTCTGCCACCCTGTTCACCTTTTACCTTCGAATAACTCCTAGATAAAAATAAATTTTATCTCCCTTTGACTTCCCTTGCTAATTTAATTGTCTCTTTTATGATTCTGATCAGTTACTGTCTTGTGTTACAGTTGTCAATATCTGTGTCTATTTCTGCCATTCGTTCATTTAGTATTTACCAAACACCACCCATGTGTCAGGCATTGCACCAAAGGCCAGTAACAGAGGAGTAGCAGACACGGCTGGTGCCCTGCTCGTGACTTCTGGCATCCATTGCTGCAGTCCTTCTGATGCTGTCCTACGAAGCTCCATAACTCTCTGCCCCAGGGTTTTCTACCCGGCGCCCAGAGCAGGTGAGAGTGCCAAGGAATTAATGCCCCTTGGGAGAAGCCCTCATTCAGTGGTGGACAAGTGTTAGTGCATAAACAGCCCAGTTTCCTCATCTGCTTAGCCCTTCCCTTCACCCAAAGGTTGTTGGTGGATGAGCACCCCAATCCCACCCCTTGAGATGTGGGACATGGAGGTGTGACTTCTAGAGTTTCCTAATAGGATGGAACCTCAGCTGCCCTTGTCAGAGCCTGGTTAGAAGTTACATGAAGATATGTGTTCTCATTATCAGCTCCTTCCCCCATTCTTGCCTTATCCTCCTTTGCTACCCATACTTCCTGGGATTAGCTTCAAATGAGCTACTTGCTCTCAAATACTTGTCTAGGGGATGACTTTTAGGGGAAGTCAGCCTACATCAAGTGGTAAGCAGAGAGGCTGTGGTTTCTATTCTTATATACCTGATTCATTACTCACGGGAATACAGACAAAAGAATAGGGAACTGCATTACAGTATGATAACAGCTAACATTTATTGTGTAGTCTCAAAACAATTCTAATACAAATAAGAAGTGTTATTATTCTCATTTTACATATAAGGAAACCAAGGCTTAGAGAGAGGTTGAGAAGTGGCCCAGCAGCAACACAAGTTGAGAAGTACTAGGGATTCAAACCCAGGTTTGTAAGATTTCAGAGCCAGAACTCTGCCATTTAGTTACCTGCCTCTCCTTTAGTCATTTCTTCTCCATTTGTAGACAGTTTCAGAAGGGTTTGATTTGTTTAAAAACAATCAAAAAAAGTAAGAAACAAACAAAAAAGACCTAACAGGGTTTGAAGTCAGGGGCCCTAAACATCGTCCAGATGTCTAATTAATGGCTACCGTCCCTCACGTGGGACCCTGGCATGAAGAATTGAGGCCCTGGGACCTAGACCTGTCCTAGGCCCCGAAAGGCATTTATCCCTCCAATCCAGCTGCTTACTTAGAGCAAATCCACTCCCCATAAATGCCAGCAAGACCTGGGAACACATGCTTCTTAGAGCAGAGCTGGTGGACCTGGCATCATGGGTAAGAGCAGATGCTAGGATTGTCAGCTTCCAAGTGGTTAAGACCTCCTCTGGGCCTAGCTTGCCTCCTGAAGGCTGAAGTATTGGGATGGAGAAAGGACCCTTTGGCCTTCACTTACCAGGTCACTGATGACAGCAGTTCAACCCCAGCAGCTAATTGTTCCATTCTCCAAGTGACCCTTTTGTCTGTTCCAGGTCACAGGGGCAGACTTTCCCACGGGAAGTCAGAAAGGCCGCTCCTTATGAGAGCTGGCCTGGTGGGGAGAGTGGCACCAGGTGCCTGGGGATGGCCAGGGAGGCAGGCTCACCGCTGATGGGCCACAGGGCTCTGCCATTTCGGGAGAGCACAGCCAGGACACAGTGTCTCGAAGGCCAGCACACTGTTCTTCCTCTCCTGCCTCTCAGATAAAAATGAGCAAAAATAACAAAAACCCAAACAGCAACAACTGAAACTCTGATTACTTACTCCATTCTATTTTCCCAATTGCTGTAAATAGAAAACCTAGATATGAACTTGTGTGCTCCTGGTCCCATGACTGTGGGCAAGTGGCCTCCCTCTGCCAGCCTCTGCTCCCCCTGCAGGCAAGCGGGGGAAGTACCGTACCTGAGGCCCCGTGGATAAGGTGGCATGCCTGGAGTTCTATCCTGTGCCTCTGTTGATATCAAAACACAAGGCTTCCTCTTAGAAAGGTGCTGCCATGCAACAGGAAAGGCTCCGAAGGTTCAGCTCCAGGGCGCTGCACTGCCTTCAAGGCAAAACTGTCAAGGAGATGTGTTACATGCTGATTGTTCTCAGTGTCACTCTTTTCTGTCTTCTAAATTTCAGGCACCCAGAATTCTTGATGTCTCTGCCTGACACCACATTTCACCTGCTTATTAGAAAGAACCTGGAATTTGGATTTTCCTGAAATACTTAGATTTGGGTTCCAGCTCTTCCACTTACTGGCTGCACCCTGGTGGACACATTATTTCTAGAGTTTCACGTCTGTTTCTCATTTTTAAAAGAAAGGGACTGGTCTGAATAATCTGTTAATTTTTCTTAGCTTAAAATGATAGATTTGAAGGCAGATGGTTGGGTTAAGAATCTCTAGGTGTGTAAACTTGGACAAGTCCACATCTTCCCCAATTCTGAAGTCCCTCATTTGTAAAGTTGGAATAATGAAAGCCTGTACCTCTTGGGCAGGAGTGCAAAAAGGGTCAGTGCAAAGGAAGCATTTCTTAGGATAGTGTCTGGCATGTCCTCTTTAGTAGTAGCATCAGTGGCAGTAATACTCCTAATGTAAATCATATCTGGTCTAGGATCAAGTTGGTCATTTCCACCTTAGCCTGAATTTCAATCATGGCATTTCTTTTCTCTGGAGGCAGTTGCTTTATAAAGATGTGGTCTTATGGGAAGAAGGTGGAGGAGTGTGGCTGAAGATGCCAACCCAGTCCTGGTCTGACATTTCCTTTTTAAAATTTAAAGAGGCTTCCTTATGCCTTTGCTTTCTCTCGGCTCTGCCAGCTGGCATTCTTATTCAAATCAGACCCCAGTCAAAGGGGCATACACATCAGTCAGTCAGACAGGCTTGCAAGTGTGGGCTTTAATTACCCTGTGCCTTCTCATAGTTCTTACCCAAAGGGAATCGCTGCAGCAGAGGTTCTGGACTTGACTCTCGAAGGAAGCGTTCAGTGAATAGGAAGTGCAAAACCTTCACAGGAAATGGGCACGCAGAGAGAGATGGAGGCAGGCCACAGTGACTGCATCAGTAGGACCCTCAGGACACAGCAGAGAACCTCCTCCAAGCCCTCAACTACCATAGACTACCTTTTCCAAGGAGTCCCTTATTAAGTATTTTTGTTTGTGATCTGTAGGCTTCCACAGCAGAAGTCCTTCTAATCATAGACACATATGGTTCAAAAGGGCCTCAATGGGAGTGTGTTCTAATCGTCCATCTGACATGTAAATCCTTGCTATGCCATTGCTGCCAACAAGTCTGCTCATCTCCGCTGGAATGTCTCTAAGGGCAGAGTACTTATCTGGTCCAGTCTATTTTTGTCCAGGTATCCTAGAAACCTCTTCTGTAGTGAAGTGCTATTCCAGAAGCTTCCACCTTTTGCTTCTAGAACTTCTTTGTGGCACTCAGCATGTATAATATCAGTGTTTCCCAAAATTCTGTTACTGATTCACCACTTTTGCAATTGTACTCTATCTATGCTCTACCAGAGAAGGCAATGGCACCCACTCCAGTACTCTTGCCTGGAAAATCCCATGGATGGAGGAGCCTGGTAGCCTGCAGTCCATGGGGTCGCTAAGAGTCAGACTTGACTGAATGTCTTCACTTTCACTTTTCATTTTCATGCATAGGAGAAGAAAATGGCAACCCACTCCAGTGTTCTTGCCTGGAGAATCCCAGGGATGGGGGAGCCTGGTGGGCTGCTGTCTATCGGGTCGCACAGAGTCAGATACGACTGAAGCAACTTAGCAGCAGCAGCATCTATGCTCTACCTGTAATACTATCAAATGAATATTTTCTTTTTTATTAATAGTTGATTTGGTTTTTTTAAACTTATATACTTTAGTTTTTTTCCTAAACAGAATTATCTGTGAAACTATGGGTTTAAAGGGTAAGTATTGTTTTTCACATTATGTATAAAAATAAATATATATATATCAAGTAAAACCATCTGTGTACCATCAGCAGTGGCACACCATCTGCTTGTTCTCTAAATAACAATGATTTATTGTATTCAAGTAAATGTAGTAAGTTGGAGGGCTGTTTATTGAGTTATTATTATATGCCAGATATACAGTAGGTGCTTCATATATGTTATCTCAATGTCAAGTTTGATGCTCACAGTAACCCTCTGGAACACTGTTATTTTTATACTTGCTTTTTGAAGCATAAAACAAGTTTCTAAAAATAGAAGCTCCAAGAGGGGCTCAAGTTATACAATTAATGAATGAGGAATTTAGGACTTGAATTTAAGTCTTCTGGTTTCAAATGCCAAGCTTTGTCCCCTGGTCCACAGAATGACCAAGAGTTCTGTTTGCCCCGGAAAGAAGGCTAGGTGCCTTTGCTTTATTTTCTCAGCCAGGTTAGGAGAAGATATCCTTGTCTCCAAACAGCTTACTGCTGACGAGAACAGCTGTTCACTCTTCGGTGAGTGCTCTTACAGACTCAGAATAGACAGCTAAGCTGATAGACAGAAATGTGGCAGGTGTCCCCTAGCACCATTCCTTTCTTTTGAGAAATGTCTCCATCTGTAATCAAGCCCAAGTCACACCAGACACAAATAACAGATGTCGATATAAAAGTGGGATGGGGAGGAGGAGAGGACAAGCATACTTTCTCTCCAGCATCTCCGATCTAATCCTTTCAGTCCTTCATGTGCTACTTTGAAGTTGTGTACCATGTGGTGGGATAGGAAGGTGGGAATGCAAGAAAAGATAAGGGCAAGTTACAGGAAACCTGTTGGAGCTATTTGCTCGCTCAGGAATGAGTAAAAAACTCTGAAAACCATGAAGATCCTCAGGCTAAGGAAGTGATGTGCTCCACTGTTTCCTTCTGTTAGCTCCAAGAGCTTAGAGCACTTGTGTGCAGATTTCCTAAGCAGTTCTATATTGATATTTTATAATATCTTAAAAAGAGCACCATGATAAAGGGTCTCATGAACAAATACACTTGGGAAATAGTCTTTACTGTATTCTCTTTTTGTTGTTTCTAAATGTATATTACCCATTAAAGACTGAGACAAGACACTTGATAACTTTGTTTAACTCAGTGCTTCTCAAACTTATTTGATCACTGTCAGGAAAAGTTGAAAGGCTTTGAAATGGCCACGAGGTTTCTGGGTGTCCTTTCAATTGAATATAAAGCATTAACCCTCTTAGCCTTTGGATTATTTGATTTTGTAGGAGTCTAGGTCTCTTACTGTCCTTGATCAAACTATTTTATATATCTTCAAATTGTTGACAACTAAT